GTGGCACTCACCTGGCAAAGCAGCAGCTTGGCTGGTCCCAACTATTCGCATCTCTAGGCCGAATGTAGCGCGAGAGAAATACCAATGTGGCTTCTTCCCTTTGAATCTGATCACCAGGCAAAAGCTGACAAGCCGCCACCCTGCTGCATTTCTGCAATCCCAGTATGCTCGCTTTCCTCCTCTCCAAAGGCCATTTCACTGGTCCTCCACCCTCTGCTCACCCCTCAGGCCTCACCAGCTTCCGTGTCTCTGAGAAAACAACAGAATGGGGCAGCAACTCCCTCTGCACCCACCTGTACCCCCACTGCTTGCTGCTCATTCCAGCCACCTTCCCTCCTATCACGTGCGATGAAATGTCCCTGGTGCCACCAGGAGCCAAACCCTCCCTGCTCACCACGCACTTCCTCTCCTGAGTCTGCCAACCGTATTCGGAGGTGCTCCAACACTCTCCCTCCTTCCTAAGAAACCTTCCTGCACACCAGACTTTGTCCCCATCCAGGTGCCATGGCCACCCTCTCGTCCCATGCTCCCTTCAAGTCCAACCTGCTTTCTACAACCTGCTGTCCACGGAGGGCCCCAGGGCTCAGGCTGTCAACCCCAGTGGCCAACCCTTGGTCTTACGGTTCCTCATCTCTCAGCATCTCGACTGGGGCACCCATTCCTCTCTGCAAACCTGAACTTCTCTCCAGGTCGCTCCCCTCACCAGCAGCTCCTGCTCTGCACCCCACCCCCACCCAGTGTGCTTCTGCGGGGGACACTTCCTCCTCCCTGTGGCACACTCGCCCCTGCATGACCTCAACCAGACGGGGTTTTAAATACCATGTGTGACCAATGGTTCCGGAAACCATCTTTCCACTTCAGTAGGGCTGGTCAGTCACCACCCCTCACTGTGACTCCGGAATGCCCTCTTCCCACAGTTTAATCCCATGGTTCCCTTAGGCCATGCTCACGGCCTAACTCCAGAAAAATAATAAGTCTTTCCGGGGACTCTCCCCTCCTCGGGCTCCCTGAAGCATGCAAACAGCCAGCAGTACAGATTTACTGCTTAATGAGACTTTCTGTAACTGTTCCCTACATGTCTCCTCCTTGGTGCACATCCAGTCTCCCCAACGAGGTTCCGTTTCTGAACGACACAAGCGTTCCTTTCTGTGTACCTGGCGCTGAGCTGGACACACCGGTGTGCCCAATGGTCAGGTCTCTGATAGCAAGCGAACAGTTTATATAAAGTAGAACCCAAAACTCATGCACTATTTTAGTCTATTAAATAGTCTGAGAAAAACATGGACTTTGTCCCTGAGTTACTTGACAAATCATAAATAAATGTTGCTAAAAGGCCTTTGTCTGTAATCGCTACGAGGTACCACGAGGAGAACTAACATTTGGAAAAGCAACGGCTACATTAGCACAACTTTTCTATCCCCAAAGTCCTCAGAATTTTTTAAAACTTAAAATACTGAGCATTTCACATACAACATGGAAAATTAAACAATCAATATTCCTAACAAAAACGTCCAATGTGGTTAAGTTTTTATTCAATGTGTGTGCAGAAATAATAAATGCAATTTAATCCTTTAATCCAAAAGGCTACAGGAGATACCGAAAACAAGTGTAGTCATGCCAAGAATTTCTGCTAGACCTCTCCGTAAATGTGGTTTTGGAAACTAGTGTTGTTCACTAAGACAGTTGAAAAATCTGAGCTTTAGGCTATGTGTAAGTCCAGTTCATCCACTATGTGAAACAGCCTTAGTTTTCATTATTAAATCCATCAGTAACTTCTATCCTGTCCTTGCCATCCTCTCAATCCCCAGCAATTTTCAACTGAAAACAGTTTTAACCTGAGAGGTTAAAACTCAAACCACAAAGCCTGCCTGTTCTCCAACTGGCCCTACTGCCTCCCCTCTGACCACTCTGGGCAGGGGACACTTGTCACTGTCATTCCAGCAACATCAACTGCATAGCAAGTGGCACTGCCCTCGCCAAGCCAAGCAGGTGGGCATGTTGGGGTTCCCAACCTTCCATCCCCTCATTTTTTACCCCAGCATTTCCTACACAGTTATTTTTCTCATCTTTCTCCAATTGGATCGGGATCCTTAGATCCTCGATCCCACCAACTGTGCCCCAAGGAGGTCTTGGTTGCCCTGTTCTCTGGGTTCCTTTTGCTACATGTGCACCCCAGTATTAGAACATTTATCATATGTTCTGAGACTTGTTTATGAATCTTTCTCCCCAACCACCTCCCCAGATTCCTGGTGAGGAAAGACCATGCTTACGTTTATATTTTGCACTGACTTGAACAGTGTACGCCAAAAGGTACGTCCAAGTCCAACTTCTGGTAGCTCTGAAAGTGACCTCATTTGGAAATGGAGTCTTTGCAGATGTAACTCAGTTATGAATCTTGAAATGAGATCATCCTGGACTGAGGGTGGACCTTAAATTCAATAACTGGTGTCCTTATAAGAGAAAGGAGAGTATCTGAGACACAGAGGAGAGAAGGCCAGGTGAAGACAGAAGCAAAGATTGTGGTTGATTTGCCGCATTCCAAGGAAGGTCAGAGCTGAAAGAAACAACGAGTCTCCTGGGGCTTTTGGAAGGACTGTGGTCCTGCGGACACCCAGATTTCAGGCTTCTGGCCTCCGGAACTGTGGGAGAAGACATTTCTCTTCAGCGACCAGTTTGTGTTTATTCGCACAGCCCTGGAAAACTAACACCTAGTCCAAACCTCAGCATGCTGCCTGCTAGCTGGAGAACCACTCAACAAAAACTGTGTTGAGCTAAGAAGAAAATAAAGGCAAGGAGGGGGGGATGAGAAGCATGGGAACCACAGGACAAGAACCTGGGACATAGACTGCCCACTGTTCATTCACTGCGGGAACCTGGGCAAGTCAGTTATCCACAGTGCCCCTCTGTTGATTCCCTAGTGAAGATGAAGGAACTGGCCCAGAAGACCTTCGACCCACTCCAGTACACCTCGAACCAGCTTCATCAAGAACATCAGTTTTGCCCTGGCCGGTTTGGCTCAGCGGTTAGAGCGTCGGCCTGCGGTCCGGAGAGACCCGGGTTCGGTTCCCGCTAAGGGCACGTACTTCGGTTGCAGTTTGTCCCCGGCCCTGGTTGGTCGTGCGGGTGGCAGCCACTCGATGTGTCCCTTCACGTCGATGTTTCTCTCTCTCTCTCCCTTCCTCTCTCTCCCTCCCACTCTATCTGTACAAAAAATGGAAAAGTATCCTCGGGTGAGGATAAAAAAAAAAAAAAAAAAAAAAAAGAACATCAGTTTTATTTGATCCTTAAATAACTTACAAGTATTTGCCAATTACTAATGCATCTTATTAATTTCATCTAAGGAACTTTCAGGTGCAAGAAAAAGGATTAAAATGACATTTTTAAAGGCACTTACATTTTAACCAGCTCGTGAGAAATTCAGTAAAATAGCTGAACTGATAATCTGCTGAAAAGTGATATTCTACATTATCTTTTTTTTTTTCTTTCCACAAAGCAAAATCAACAGCTGTAACTGCTGATGTTTTGGAAAATCTCGACTTAAACTTGAATCAGCCTAAGCGCCACTGATCCAGGACCAATGTAAGATGGATGACAGGGTTCCTTCCAGTTGGCTCAGGACTGTAATTAAGGTCCCATACCCCGAATTTCCACTTCAAAGAGCCTAGCTAATAAATTAAACAGTTGCTGCCACTACCAAATGGTCAAGTGTTGGTAAAGGAGTCAAACAAAACAAAAACTATTTTACCCATTTTTATGCCTTCATACACACACACACACACACACACACACACACTTTCCAGTGATAAACCTTTCCTAATTCAAACAAATGAAAATAAAGAGCAAAGTGCTAGTACTGAGATTTATACTTATCTTACCCAATACCCTGCTTAATTTGGGTTAAATTAAAAACTATATTTAAAGTTTTTCATGGCTCATGCTGCTCCCCTGGCCTTCATGTTTTTATAGTGGCAGCGTGGGTGTGTGGGGGAGGGGATGTGTGTGTGTGTGTGTGTGTGGTGTTTTTTTAGAAAACCAACCAAAACAACATAGGGGTACGCAGAGCCCAGAAAACTCATATTTCACTTCAATAAAAGATCCATTAGGAACACTTGAAAGACTTTCCAAACCAATTCACAGTTCAGAAAATACAATCAAGAGCCACTGGTGCCAACTGTTCAGCTGGAATTCACAGAACCACGCTTGCAAAACTGGGCCGTGAATCTCAGCACACACCGAGTTAGGAGACCGAAGAAAAACTTTCCCTTCCAGGTGGCAACTCAATTCGAAAACCAATCCCCGAGTTGGAAGGCTAACAAACCCACAGTGTTCAATTCCGAAGTTCTCAGCTTTTAAATCTGAGCTCCCACACACGGGGAAAAAGGGGGGGGGGGGGGGGGCTGGAAATTGCAAGACTTCATCTCAAATACGTTTCTAGCCCTTAATAACAACTCAATTGTAAAAGGTGCTCCTTAACTTTAATGCAACGAAGATAGCAAGGGCAAGGCAATCGTCTGGGGGCTGGGGGTCACACTCAGGGCGGCCCGAGTCCTGTGTTGTTCTGATAGTGTTCTGTTAGGCTCCGAACTGCTGTCGGAGCGGACCTGAACGTGCACGGAGCTAAGGGCTGGCGCTTGGAACCGAGCGCAGTTTTCTGGGAGCCGGAGCACAGGATGAATGAGCTGTAACTCTGCCAACTGCGTGTTTACTCGCATCCTCACGTGGCACCGCGCCGCGACAGGAGCGCTGCGCCCAGACCGCGCGGGGCGCGCCGGGGAGCCCGAAAACTTTTACTTTGCAAACGAGCGGGCCAGAAGGCGGCTCGGAGGCAGAGGCACTCGCCTTCCCCCGAAATGCGCCCCGGCCAAGCCCTCCACCCAGCAGCACCCCTGCCCGCAGCCTCCTTCACACAAAGGCGCGTGGGTGCCGGCGGGACCCCTCTCCGAAGTTGCGCGGAGCGCGGCGGCGCGGCCGGAAAGCACCGGAGGGCGAGAGCTACTCACAGGGTGACCGTGCGGTTGGGCAGCGTGTCCGGGGGCAGGACCTGCGCGAGCTCCAGGCTGCTGCACACCACCTTGCCCTCGGCGGCACCCGCCGCCCTGCCGGCCACTCGGGGCCGCCCGTCGTGCTTGCACCCCGGGGGCAGCGCCGCGGCGCCGCGGCCGCCTCCCAGCAGCGCGAGCAGCGCGAGCGGCAGCAGCAGGGGCGGCGGAGGGCGGCCCCGCCGGCGCCCGGGCGGCTCCATGCTGCGGGCCGGGGCCTGCGGACCGAGCGGCGGCGCGCTGGCCTAGCGGGCCGGCCCGGCGCCCGGGATGGCGGGGACGCGGCGCGGGCCCGGCGGCGCCCGGAGCCTCATGGCGGCCGGAGGACGGGCCCTCCTCAGCGCCGGCATGCTCCTTTGTCCGCCGCGGCCGCGCTCGGCCTCCCGGGAGCCGCGGGCTCAGGGCAGCGCGGGTCCCAGCACCGCTCTCCAGCCGGCGGGAGCGCCGCTTCCTCCAACGTCGCCGCCGCCGCCTCCAGCCCGGCCGCCGCCCCGCCCGCTCCTCCTCCGCCGCCGCCTCCTCCGGGTCCCCTCCTCTCCCCGCGCCGCCCGCGCCCGCGGCTCCGGGAGGAGGTGCGCGCCCCGGCCTGCCCCGCCCACCCGCCTGGGGCGCACCCGGCCTCGGCCCGGGGAGGCGCGGGAGTCCGGCCACTCGTGGGAGGGAGGGAGGGAGAAAGTTCTAGTCCAAACTCCAGGCGCGGTGGCCACCCTCACACACGCTTCCCTTGTCGTCGCCGCCCTCCAGACAAAGCCGCCCTGTGCGCCCTGGGGCCGCCCATTCAGCCCGAGGAGCCGGCCGGGCCAGAGCGGGGAGCAGGGCAGGGCTGAATGTCCGGGGGGAAAGGAGAGGCTAGAGAGTGTCCCAAACCAACTGTCTCGAAAGGAATCGCCTTCCCTCCTCAATCCTGGGCAGGGATTTCGAGCCTGCTCCTGGCACACCTAAGTAGTCTCATTTGTCCCAAATACACCAGAGCGAGGAGCAGGTTCCTCACCAGGAACGTGGGCTCCCGCAGCTCTCTGGCCTTCAGCAACTCTGGCTTTGGTCCCTGCAGAGGATGCATCGGGCCTCCCTGGACCAGCAGCCTTTTGGAAGAATTCTCCTGGGAGATCCCATGATGTCAGATGCGACCATTAGAGCCACAGTGAGCAAACTAGCCAAGAAACCCCAGCTGAATCCATTACATACTCTCAATGTTTGCAAGACCAGGGCTCACATATCCTGTGTTTAAATATTTAACATTAAGCCAACAAGTAAAATATACTATTCTCCTGCCTTGAGAAATATACCATAGTAACAGTCCGTGAGGCTCAGCATGTGCACCGAGTCCTGGGTACCTTGGACAAGGTCTAGACTTAGAAAGGAGACACAGGCTCTGGAAGAACACCTGTGGAGTTCCACCCTGAAACATGGTGGGAGCAGCCACAGTTCAGCCGGGGATCAACACATGTCCACCCCCTTCACTTCCTGGGCCAGCTCCAGTGGTCCACAAGAGGAGCTTTCTGCGCCTGTGGACTCGTAGCCACATAACCAAGCTCTGTCCACACCCTTGGCAGCCTGTGGGCCTCGGAATGCACCCACCAGTTGTTTGCTCCTCGGCTTGGGAGGGCAGTTCTGGGAAGAAGCCTGCTCAGGCTTGGAAGTCACCTTGGGAATTTTCCATCAGTGCATTCCAGGGTCCTGGGTGCTTTGGACAAGGTCCCTAAGTAGGAAGGGGACACAGGCTCTTGAGAAAGGGAGAGCTAGGATGCTGCCCTCTAAGATGCAGAGCCCAGGGCAGGGTTTTTCTTGCCTGGGTCTAAGGGTCCAAGGTCACTACAGCCTAAAACCCCTACAGAGTTTATCTTAGGGACCCATTCCCGGGAATCTATTTATGACCAGAACTTTCCCAATAGTAGGTAAATGGCTTTCATTTAATGTCCAGTGTTGCATTCAATTTTTTTCCCATTTTGTTGTTGTTGTTGTTCAGATAGAGTGCGGAGGGAGAGAGAGAGAGAGAAACATCGACGTGAAAGGGACACATCGAGTGGCTGCCACCCGCACGACCCAACCAGGGCCGGGGGCAAACTGCAACCGGGGTACATGCCCTTAGCGGGAACCGAACCCAGGCCTCTCTGGACCACAGGCCGACGCTCTACCGCTGAGCCAAACCGGCCAGGGCCAGTGTTGCATTCAATTTAAATAGCACTTCATTTGACCAACATTTTTTAGATTCAGCTATGTAAACCTGTGTCCTCCCTAATAGTATGCCCTGTGATGACAATGTTCCAGGTCTGTGCTGCCCAGTTCGGTGACTGTGGGTGGCTGTCTAACTCCTGCAATGAAGCTAGAGCGAGGTAAAAAGATGCTTTCTCGTTTTATTTCATTTTCATGAATTTAAATTTTAACTTAAATAGCCCAAGGTGTCTAGTGGCTACCACGTTGAACACTGCAGGTCTCAATACTAATGGGTAGGAAAAGTGGGAGACTGTCACCACCATTAAGTAGCTTTACATCTATTAGTAAGCTCACAAGGCAAACGGGTGCTTCTGTGTTAAGTGGCTGAAAGTGGTCACATTTCTCTTGAATTTACTTAAAGAATTATTATTCTCTAACAAAATTATTATCATTATCTAGTTTCTTTATAAAGACAAAAACTTCTTCCTGTAGCAATATGGAGATTTTAATAGTCACGTTACTATTGTCAGCCACAAATTCTCTTGTGAATATTTTCACATACTCAGTTTCAGCCTATAGTTGAAATAAACGTGCATATCTCTTTTGAACTTTGTTTACCAACCATACTGACATCAACTTGGTACATAGCCTCATTCTACTTCATTATAGGCGAGCAAGATATATAAAGTACAGAATTATCCGAAAAAGAGATGTCTCAGGTGTTACCATGACTCCAAGGAGAAATATGGAGGAAATGTTTATTATATAGATAATTTCAGTCATTCTTGCCTAGAAATTACTCAGACTATCTTTGAAAGTAAAAATCATTATAAATCATAAAATAGTATATCAAAGCTGGAAAGGACTTTAGAAAGTGTATCTTTCAACACTGTAGCCCTTGGAATGCACACAAACCACAGTTATTATCATTCTGTACAAGTGTGTGTTCATAAGACATAGCAAGCCGTCCTTTCCACACATAAAGAGATCTTAGAGGACGATACTGTCTGAAACCTACTGTCACTTAGGCTCAGTCACAGCAAAATCTTCACTTTAATTAAGTTACCCCAGTCCTGATAGCCTCCTGCAAGACAGGTCTATCTACTGTGATCCTCCCCTCAGGCTTCAGAAACGTTGTACCATTTGAAGTTCTGGGACTTAACAGGTCCTTTCTAAGTTTTTACTGTGCTCATGACTGTCCCACTTTCAAACACCCTATAGATACTGTTTGAGCAATGGCTCGTTAGCCATATTCATGTACACACTGTCCAGTAAAGCTGCATTGCTTCAACTGTTGCTCGAGGGATGGTACATGAGCCAAATTCCAAAGCTTCCACGCTGTAGATCCTGTCTTACTATGTTGCAGAGGCTTGTGGGAGATCCCAGGGCAACACTGAATGATGCTTTGTGTTTCCTCCTAATATAAACATTGTATTCACTATGTGCGTAAATACATATGTAATAAATATACATGTGTATATACGTGCGTATGTGCCACCCTATTTATTAACAGTTGCTTTTACATGCCAGTGTTCTTTCTTCTCTACCAGACCGTGAGCTCCTAGAGACCTTTCCCAGCCCCTTCTCCAATTACTTCTCCCACCTTCAGTCACTCCCTGTTACGTTACCCTACAATCTGACCAATTATCTAGACTGAGTGTAGATAAAATGGCTTGTTTGGACCTGAGGGTAGCTACCTTTTTAAATGTATTTACACCTTTATATTGTTGGCCTCCCCCAAAACAGCATCAGCTCTGTGACACTGTCTTGTTCACATCCTATGGCAGACACTTGGATGCTGCCCAGTGGCCATTCCTAAACGTTTTCTCCCTTAGAGACTGAAAAGGCTAATTATCGCCCAGCTTCTCCCTTCCAAGAGTTGGTGGCTGTAACCTAGTTCTAGCCAAAAAGAATCAAAGGCTGTACTGTCCAATGTGGTAGACACTAGATACATGTGAATATATCAATTTAAAGTAAATAAAACTGAACACTCGGTTCCTCGGGCACACGAGCTGCCGTTGAAGTGCTCACTTACTATCTGGATGCTGCTTGGACAGCACACATTACAGAATGGTTTCAACATCCCAGAAAGTTCTGTCATCACAGAACGCCAGCAGCCATCGGAGGGGAAGTCTGGGAAGCCTCGGGACAGACACCGTTTTCGTGATAAAAGGACACTTGTCAGAGCTCTCTCCCACCACCCGCACCCATGTCGCTGGGAGGTGGTACTGGGAGAGCCTGGCGCCTGAGCCTGAACTGGGCCTTCTGTGACCACAAGGCGAAAGCCCAAGGACAAGTCCGAAGTGTTCAGAGCTAAAAGCCATTTGCATCACCGAGGTCACAGCCGAGCTGCCAATCGAGGCTCTGGACTTACCTCTATTGACAGAAAAATTTGTTTTGGTGCCCAGAACATCCTGGCACGTGGAAGGAAGTCCAAAGTGTGTGCTGATTAACATAATTTAAATCTCGCTCCTCTTTCTGTTCGAAACAGCTTATTCAGTCCTTCATACATATTAGCTGGTGAGTGAAAGCTTTTTTGAATTAAGCATTTTGGATGACAGGGCACAAACTCTCAGCTAAAATCAACTAACTTGAGGAGATGGACTACAGTGTAGCCTTCTAGAAGCAAATGGAAATGTGTACCTTCACGATGACACGGACAGAACAAAGAACAGCAATTTTTAGCACCTGAAATGCCTCAGTGACACTTCCATACACCCTGTTAATAAACAGACATTCTCTGTGGGTTTTTTACATCATTGGATGTTAATCTATTAATTGTGACAGCTGTACTTTCTATTTTTAGTCATTACATAGTATGTGCTGGAGCGTGCGCTTGGTCATCATCCAGGACCCCAGAGGAACAGCAATAGTATCTCAAATAACCCCGGAGCCTCTTTCGACAGCTCAGCTCCCGTTCTGGCTTCCTAGTTAGTGGAAATAGTGACCTTTGACATGTCACTAAATCTCACCTTTCAGAATGAGAGTTTGAATTGGAACCAGCTTCCAAGTGCTCTGATTTTATCCTGCTGAACCATGAATTCTTCTTTTGTTTGTCTGCTGCAGCCAGACAATTACTGAAATGTATCCCTGTGATGGTTAAATGCTCTTTTTAGATGACCAAATACCTTTCTGAAATAGTATATTCTTTACCCGCTGCAGTGTAATTATCATCAATTGTAAATATAAAGAAGAAAAATGAGGTCAGAATTGGCCAGCAGTGCCACATGGGGAGTGACCTTGATGTAACTGTTGTCTCCAAGTACAGGACCAGAAATTTCAGCACTGAGGTCATGGAACA